GCGTCACGGCCGCCTCCGCCGCCTACGTCGGGAGCGTCACCCTGGCCCCCTCTCTCTGCGCGCGCGCCCGTCTGCACCACCGCCAGCTCGTCCAGATCCGCGTCGAGCGCACTGCCTTGGAACTCTGGACCTACGTCATTGTTGCCGACCGCGCCGCCGCGGAGGACACCGTCTGCGTCAACGGCGCCGCCGCCTTGCATGTCGCCGCGGGAGACATCGTCTCCATAACGGCCTACGCTCGCTCCGCCCGACGCTTGCCAAAGAGGCTCCCGGTTTGGGATGCCCTCGATCCCGCGGAAAGCACCCGTGCACAGTACGTGCACATCGAGCCCGCGGACGACGTCACGGTCGAGCTTGCCGTGGGAAAGATACATAGGCCACGTGTCACGGCTGTCAAAGAAGGGGTGAGCTGTCCTTGCGTCGTCGTGGATGAGGAGTGGATGCGTCAGGCCAGCTTGGAGGACGGTATGCAAGTTCATCTCGTCAACGTCAGTAATGGACAGAGGGATGTGCTCGTGCTTCGTGCGGGGAAGGAGGGTACCCGTGTATGTGAGGTCCACATGTTTGGGGGCCAGGTCGAAAGCGTTGAGGCCCGCTTTGGGGACAGGTCGGGCTATCAAGTAGGAGATATCGTTATTGTTATGGCCTATGGCGAGGTCACTACCGGCGCATTAGAAAGAGGGTCTGTACCTGACATGAACCTTTGCTTTCCGTATGAGATTCCTGATAAGGATCGCCTTGAGTGCGTCGGCATTTTGAATGGCTACCCTTCGTGACACCGCCCCTTTTTTGTCCTTGCCTTTCAGTTTTGTGCATCCACGCTCTCCTCATAATCGTCGTTCCGCCGCACTGAGATAGTCAGGCCAGGCTTCCACGCCACGTGCCAATGTTTGTGCTTCGCGGAAGCAACTTGACAGTAATCAGTGACAAGCCTTACCCAAAAATTTCCATGATCTCCGAACGAATTCACAGTAAATAATACTGTGGTAAATCTACAGCAATGTATCCTCTTGCTGCGCAATCTCGAGCTGTACAGCAGAGGGTACAGTAAGTTACCAAAGGTACAAGTCCTACGACGCACGCGCACGCCAATCATTTCGCCATGCACAACGCCGTCAACCTCGCCGCACTTGTTCTCCCGTTCTAGTACACACCGGGAATCATCTTGTACGGTACCAACCGGCAATACTCTTCGTAGTACTTGCCATACTTCTCCGAGCATCGAACTTCGTCACGATACGCCCGATCCGTCAATAATATCGTCAAGAACATCACATACACGTACGGGATCACGCCTGTCCCACCTGCGGGCACGCTCCAACAAAAGGTGAGCGCAATCTCAAACACGTAGTTCACATGTCTCGACACGCCCCACCATCCACTTGCCAACAGCAAACTGCGTCGCTTCTTGCCATCCCCCGTCACGTACTGTGCCTCGATGCTCACGGGTTTCTGACCCCAGATTGTTACCTGTCCGTTCGTCGCACGAAACACCTCGCGCTGCTTGTCCGTCCAGTAGTTGCAGCAGATGGCCCCAACGCCGACCATCGTTATCGCAACGGCGACGCGCGGGTCCCACACGACCGGGTGCGTGGCAAGGTAGTAACTCGTCAGCGTGTAGATGCTTGGGAGGAAGGCGGTGCAGCCCCAAAAGATGTAGAAACCGAAGCGGTCATGAATGATGTCAACCTATAAAGAGAGCGACACAGAAGCATCGCGGCATTCGCGTTAGTATAACGGTCTAAGATAGATCCAAAATAAGCACACATGAGAATGGTCAAGACTTACTGAGTTGAAATAGCCGGCCTCCCAAACGAAAAACTTGAAGATGTACACCAGTTGGAGAACGACTGAAACTAACATAGAATTGGACACATATCCGTACTGCTCCCTCTGCTTGCAAGCAAACGCGACTATGGCAACACTCCAGCCCATCAAGGCAAAGCGACAATTCACGAGCTGCTTCAAACTAACGCCAAAGATTTCCGGGTGCAGCTCCGTTCCATGCCACATATCCCATACGATACCGAAACTGGTCGTGCCGCTGTCCGAGTTGGTGGGAAAATAAATCCCCCTAAAGTACAAGAGAACAGTGACAACAAGGGCAAACTTGCCCAGAAAAGCGAGGACCTCACCGAAATGGTCGTAAAGAAGGCCATATCGAATAAACCCTTTCCATGCGGCAATCCCGAGCATCGCATGCGTAATCAAGAAGCAAGCGACGCCGTTGAGGCTATACTGCGGTCGGTTGCCCATCGGCGTTGGAATGGCGAGAAACTTCTTGCCTGGGACGAGAAGAAGCAGAAGTAGCTGCGCAACAAGAAACGTGAGTACCAGCTGGGCAGCGAAGAGTGTGGGAGAGGGAAAGTTTGCCCATATTTGCAAGGGGGAGTCTTGCAGGCAGAGGCGCAGGTCACCCGAATAGTGATAGCAAACAACCCACACGAATTGGACGCCGGGGGGAGCGATAACGATGAGCAAGAGGGGAACGAGGGTGGTGCGAAAGAAGGTGTCGGCAGAAGACTTTGAGGGCTCCATTCCGGTGATGGGGCAAGGACGAGGAAGAAGGAATGCGGGAGGGAGAGGGTGCGGTTCTCAGAACCGCACCGCCTTGATTGGTGATGTGGCAATAAGGCACACTTCCGCATCGGTGCTGTATTGAAATGGTGTTGAACAATGTGACTATGTATGGATTCCATACATAGTGATGTGAATCATATCGTACAGTATCCTAATCTGGTCTGGCATTTCACAGTAATTTACAGAGTAAGTACCATTGTACTGTTGTATTGAAAATCGTATTCGTGTACACGAGTACACGTGTATTACGCGAGTGTACACCACCATCCATATCTGAGGGTTTGAAGATCTGTAATGTCGCTACGAAGGGTAGCCGTAGACTCACTTGACTTGATGTGAGGCATGTAACTGTATGAGCGCGTTATGCATGCTTGTACACACAGATACTGCGCGGTTACAGAATGTGGGCACCGCTGCTGTGGCAACGACACAAGCGCATCTAGAGGGGTCTACAGATGCTGTTTCACGGTAGATGTTTGCGTCTAAGGGGCTAGTAGCTGCAGATGGCAGATACATCAACCGTCGAAGTAGACGCGCCGTCGAAGTGTCGTGCTCAGAAACATCACGAAGGGCTCCGGCAGCTCTTCGTCGTGTAATATGCATCTATACGGGTATCTGTCGCCGTTCCGTCGTTGATCAAGACTTATCGCAGCTGACGGGCGCCGTCTATAAACTTTATCTGCATTGCGGTTGTTCAAGCTTGTTGAAACAGGCGTGGAAGGGTACAGTATGTGCATCTTCCTTTTTAGTCTCGATACGCCATACGCTTCTGAAGCAGAGACAGAGAGCAGCACACAGTGTAGAAAATGTATTACAAACTATAATACCGCACACAAGACCGAAGGCCATTTATGTGTGTGCTGTGGTGCTGGCACCACCGGGTGGTGCAGTGGCACCACCGCACGACATGACCCTACAGTGGCGTACAGTATACAGCACGGAATCTTCGATCTTTCCGATTGAGGACGAATCTGACCTCAGGTGTCCCGAAAATGATCCTTTTTGTTTTGCAGTTTCTACAATGCATCTGATTGCAATCTCTGCCCCGCTCTATCCACCTCCACCCCTCCGAAAGGTGACAGAGCCCCCTCACTTCTTACTGACAACGTCCAATTTGTACGTGGATTCGAATTGCACGCTTCCTTCCTCCCTCCGCGCTTCGCCCTCTGCCGCGGCTGAATCGAAGATGCCCAATCGATCCGTCGAGCTGGCATATCCCCAGCCTCAGTCGCACCCGCCCTGCACACAGCCCCCCGACTCAGATCCCAACCCCGACCCCGACCCCGACCCCGACCCCGACCCCGACCCCGACCCCGACCTTGACCCCGACCACGCACTTCAATCTGACTCGATCCACAGCATAGAGTTTTCCTAGCATTTCCACCGCGATTCGCCTAGTCGCCTCTTCTATTCCGCCGATACGCCTGCCATCTAACATCTCACCACCCCTACACCTTCATGGACAATTCTGACAGCAGCGACCCCGTCCCCTACTCTGGTTACACCCCTCTCACCCCCTCTGACTTTCCCTTTCGAGAAGACAAGCAAAAGCACTGGGACGCCGAGAACCCCGTTGATCCTACTTTTCTCGTTGACAAGACCACTCGTTCTAAGTCCCTCCTTCTCTGCCTCGTCGTCTTCGCCATCGCCTTTTTGATCCTGTTTGTCTGGCAGATCCTCGTGGCAAAGTGCGTCGTCAGTTCTCTTTGCGAAAAAAATGATGCAAGCTCTGGACCTACCACAGACTATTTGTTCCAAACCTTCACCTTCAGGGTTCCCTCCGCCCTGCTCTGGATCGGCCTTGTCGTGGGAGCCCTCGCTTTCTTTATGGCTGCAAGAGCCGTCTACACGTTGCTCATGATCGATGTCGGACCGGCCCGGCTGTTAGAGACTTCAATGCTCTTGCGCAAGGTTGCATCTACGGTTCTACTGCATCAATACGCCATCATGGTCCTCCCAACCGTCTTCGTCTTTACCTTGATCGGCGCCTTTATCAACTGGGCCACTGCCTCTTGTTTCATTCTTGGAGCTCTTATGGCTCTTGCAGCTGGACAGGCTGGAGTTTCTATTGCCACGAGAGGGCAGGTCCGCAGCGCTGCTCAAGCTGTCGATGACGTTAAGGCCCCGTTCAAGGTTTCATATCGCTCGGGTGCCGCGATCAGTTCCGCCGTTCTCGGCATAGCCGTGCTCGTTCCACCCGCCTTGTATTTGATGATTTCTGATGTTCGTGCCCTCGCCGGCCTTGCTGCAGGGTCGACCGCGGCATCCCTCTTCGTTCGCATGGCAAATGGCATTTTAACCCGTGCTACGAATACTAGCGCGACCAATCTATGCGATAACGGCGATGGCGTAATTGAAAACCCGCAAGATGCTCACCTCATCGCTGCATATGCAAGCTCCGGACTCGGCGCCATTGTGGGTACGGCAAGTGATACCTTCGCTTCTATCGCCAGCGCCGTGGCTGGTACTGCCATTCTTGGGACAAGCCTTCCCTTCTTTTATCGCAACTCGCTCGCTATGTGCGTATTTAATCATCTCTACGTCGACCAGGTCTGTGGGCCCTTTGGATATCCCCAAAGATTGTCCTACGCAACGTACATATGCAAAGAGGATAATCTGTACATGAAATATCCCGATCTGAGGACGTGGGGATCCAACTCGGCGTTTGTTGCCCTTCCTTTTGTTATCGTTGCCATCGGTATTCTCGTATCACTTGTTTGCACTGTTTATCCGCTGTACGGAAAGTATGCTGTTTCATACGAAAGTCAGGCACTCTGTGTTGTTCGTGGCGTACGGATAACGATGCGGCGCAACTACGTCATCGGATATGTCCTGTTTATTGCTGCGTCAGCTGCTTTATGCTTTGGCCTCTTCGGCCCACTGTCAGAATTTCAGAGTTACCAAGGGCTTGGAAAGGTGAAAGTCCAGAGAATGGTACTCGACGGCTCCAGTGGACAGTGCGGAGAGAAGTATTTGAACTTTTCGGGCGGCGAGGAGGTGAATCCCGTCCCTGTGCCACAAGGAGGTGTTCTGAAAATGGATCATTATCGGCCGATGACCGTGTCAGGAAGGAGTCTTGGAAATGCAAACTCGACGTCGTGGCGCTTATTTGGATGTCTCATTTTGGGAGTGCTCTTGGCGGCCACTATGACTGGAATCACTTGTGATCATTTCACATCAGCGACTGCTCTCCCTACCGCTAAAGTTACCGCATTTGTCCAGAGTGGCAATTTGTCAAAGGCTATTATCCAAGCAATTACTAATGGTTTAATTGCTACGGCGCTCCAGGCCTTGCTGGTTGCTATCGCACTACTCTCGTCTTACAAACTGTTCGGGGCGTACGGAACTGGTTTGACGACACTGGGGTTTCTATGTTCTGCTGGTTCCAGAACAACGTCAACGATGATGAACCATGTCGCTGAGAACTCAAATAATATCTCTTGCGCCTCCAGGATGCGATACTGGCGGCGAACATTCTGTGAAGTGCTAAGTTTAGTAAGCAGTACTACAACAGCATCAAATACTGAGTTCGCAAATGGAGCTTCAGTGCTGACGGCCTGCACGCTCTTCCTAGCTGTTGCACACCAATCTGGGCTAGTCCCATCACCACGCGGCTTGGTAAGCCCGGAGGAAAGCTCTTCGTCGCCATCACCGTCGGTTTTCATTGCCAATTCCGAACTTTTGCCTGTCTCCGACATACTCGTGACTGTAAGTGCTTTTCTTGGTGTGCTTCTTCCGTTTGCAGTAGCAGGGCTTCTGGTGGCCGCATCCGCCCAGGCTACCGACGAAGTGGCTTTCGAATCCGAGAACTATACCCATGCGGAGATCACAGCCGTCGCTTTCTTCAGACGAATAGCAAGGCTGATGCTTCTTGAGTCGGTGATCCCTGTCACAATTTCACTTTTTGCTCCTGTGGTTATTGGATTCGGATTTGGTCAGCGGGCCTTGAGCGGGTGGCTCATGGCCCTCATACCGGCCGGTTATATCTTGGGAACCTTTTTAACGAGTGCATCAAGTAGCTGGAATAGCGCGGATAGGCAAGTTGGAGCCGATCTGACGCCGAGTGAGCTGCTTCCTTGTGAAAATGCAAGGCATATGCCCCGGCTATTGCGGGAGGGACGAGGTCGTTTTACAAGCGAGTTGACCAGCGCACTTCGAGATTGCGCCGGACCGGGTTTGCAATCACTGTCGAAGTTTTCGGCTTCCATGAGCCTTGTAGCTGCCACAGTGATGCGTCCAGATGATGACAAAGGCTGGATTGGTGGGATCATCCTGGCGATTATCGCGGTGTTTCTTCTTGTGTTCGCTCTACTGAAGAGCCGATGGTGGGCTCAAGGAGTGTCCAGAAGTGCTCGGGATGAGGCGCAAGTTCGAGCTCCTCCGAAACAAGTTTCCCCGTTTTACGAAGAAGGCCCAATGATAGACCCGGCGACTGTGCGACCTGGAAGCCAAGTGCATGATGCTTTGTTAGCAATAGGCAGTCCAACCGAACCAGTCTCGCCAACGATATTGCCTGGGGTACTGGAGGACCCCTTCACGCAAAGGCCCGACAATTTTTTTAGGTTTATGTCAAGTACGGACGAAGTTGTTGTCTAGCGCTTCTTCCCCAGAAAGGCATCAAGTTCCTAAATGCACTGCAGATGGAGATGCGCACTGCAAGGGATTGAAAACCCATCCTTCTGTTGGTACAGAGATCACCTGCTAAGTATCAGCACTAAACCAAGTGAATGGTTTCGGCAATACTGTACCCTTGGGTACTGTAGATCAGAAGTCAAATTCGGCTTGCTGCCGGGATAGCTCTTCCATCCGCGCAAGGTTTTTGGCGATGCTGAAGAAGAAGGGACAAATCCGCGCGAATTGCTTGTACTGTATGGTTGGGGGATTTGGTGGAGCAGCGCTGGAAAGAAATAAGATCTTGTGGCTTTGAGGGCCGTCAGACCCAGAATATCTTATTTCTGGCAACGGCTCTGAATCGTGGTTTTGATTATCGCAGTAATGAAACTCGGCATAGCGTCTATCCTTGGGCCTACCCGTTTGCTTCTTAGATTAAGTAGTTAATATCCTCATACGTGTACTGTGGTGTTTGTCGCAACAGTAAACGCTTTTCTTAAAGCAATGACTCACTTTAGTTTTACTGGGTTTTGCTTGTGTCTGCCCTTCACGGACCCACGGCTGTGCACCAAGAACGAATGAACCTCAAAGCCTAGGAGGCTTGTCGCAACTAGCCTACATAATCGCGACAACTGTCCTAGGGTGCGGCTTTTTACAGTAAAACGAAGCAAGGTGGAAATGGTGCACCATCTCATGTGCTTTCTCTTTTTAGTTTAGTGCAAGAAAACCCCACTCACTGCGCATTTCATGCGTAGTCCGGGCTGTACAGCACCAAGGGTTGTACATTTGAAAGAATAAGTCAACAGGCTCACGCCGTTGCTCCGCATCGTCTGCATGGTCCAAGTCGTTAGAATACTCTCATAGCCAATGGAATAGTTTGGGTTCCAATTTTCTTTGTGTCCAGCACTCTTGGGAGTTTCTCCGAGAGAGCACCAAGCCGTCTCGTCTCTACCCTTGGGTAGCTCATTCAGGCCCATCCGAAATACACAAAATTGTCCGCTTACATTTTTTGTCGATGAAATGAGACTTGGAATGAGTATGAATAAATCTTCTTGTGATGCGGCGCAGAAATAGGGTGCGTCTCTCGAGACGATATCTGCCTCAATTCCGTGGCACTGGAAGGATCGGTCTATGACCGTGTAGTGGGAATGAAATTGTCCCATGCATATCACCGTGGTCTTCCCATCCGTGACTTTCGCTGCAGCTCTTACGTCTTCCCCGCGTTAACGCTGCGCATGCGTGAACTCCATTTGTGTTCCCGCCCCGGCACTTAAATTTCCGTGCTGCCCATCGGCAAGACCAAGGGCGTTAGCGACTTTCTGCAAGTTCATTACTCTTTCTTTCAACTCATTCAACCTATGTTTCAGGGACTCATTTTGCCTCTGGACGAGTGTGGCCTGCTCCATGTCTCTCTGATTTTCGGCCTTCTTCCGAAGCCGACTCCTTCGAGCACTTGATCGATTGCGTGCAGCACGGGCACGCCGAATTTCAGCTCTTGTCTTTCCGACTTGGTCGGGAGGCTTTGCCTGGCTGTCTCTCGGCTGTGTCGGCGGTTTAGAACGACCCACGCGATGTGACGAGGTATCCATCTTGCCATGCTTTACCATGCTCTGGGACAGCGGTATTTGATGTGAATGTGACGTATTGGACATAAATTGGATATGTTCTCTGCTTTGTACCTGACCGCGCTCGTGCGTGCGCACATGCAGCGACTGATTTCCCTTCAGCAGCACGCTCTTGAAGCTTCCGAGAGAATCCATAAGATTTTCTTCATGATCTAGAGTGTACGATGTGCATGGCAAGCGGTTGGCCGGAACTGAGGAAGACCTCTGAAGAAGCACGTCAAAGTCCACCATGGTGGTCTCCGGGCTGGAGGATTGGCTTGGGATCGTGCGAGATGAGTTGCAGGATGAGAGTTGATGGTGCGAGTCAGGGGAAGAGCGCAGCCATGAAGCCTGGGTGTGATAGGATGAGTGGGGTTTCGAAGCTGGAAACCTGGACATGACGAGATGAGTTGCCGGCTGCATGTCAGCAAGTGTGGAAGAAAGGAAGGGTGCTAGGAATATGAAGCGGCACTTGCGTGGAGAGATGAGTTAGAGTGGTGGTTGAAGGTGGAGGTTAAAGAACAAAGTTGTGCTCGCCAGCTCAGCGAATGGAGTTGCGCGGTAATGGACACCGAGGACTCAACGGACGGAAACTGGACGACACGTCAGGACCGGGTTGGAGTGCAGGCGTTGGTTGAAGTTGAGCGGACCTTGGAGGATTGCCACGATGGAGCTGGGTTTGTGAATCCGAGCATGCCAGCGGCAGAAAGCAAATGTTTGGTTGATAGAATTAGGAAGCGGATGAAGATGGATCGAAGCGCTAGAGGAAGACAAGTCGCAAAGGGGCATGCACAAAACGGGGGATTCGTGAGAATTTTTGTTGATGAGTGGGAATGCGGTTGAGTCGTCGGAGGCTGAGGAGGCAATGAAGAAGTCGAGCAACAATGATGGAGGGGGTGGAGCAGGTGGTTTAATAACCGCAGAGGAAAATAGAACGAGGAGTAGATGGGGATGTGCGGGTATTGTGTTTGGAGGGTTTCGACTAGGGATTATGGTCGGGGGTACAGGGCGAGAAGCGAGTGCTGATAATGTACGGCAAGAACAAGGAGAAGATTCGAAGCAGACTCGTGTGCAATTGTCGGTGCACGAGAATAAGGAGAATGAGATACTGCAAAGGTCTCAAGATAAAAGGTTGAGCGAGGGTGGAAAGAAAATGTAAGAGGTAGAAATGTACAAAACGGATGATTTGGAAGATACAGGGCGCGGATGAGAATGGAAAGGCAAAGTTGAAAATTAAGGGGGAGCGGGGGATGTGAGTAGGGGGATGTGAGTAGGGGGATGTGTTGGAAAGGCGTTCGAAGGCAACGTTGAGGTATGAAAAGGAGGAAGAGACTTGGGAAAAAGGAATGGATTGAAAGGAAATTAGGTTCCTGACGTGAATAATGGTAACCGCGCAGTAGTGTACAGTGGAGGAAGAGGAGGGGGGGATGGTTTTTTGGAATAAGGGTTGTTGTTGGCGCTAGTTTGTCGGTGGGACGTGGGACGAAGAAGGAGGGAGGAAGAACGTGACACGGTCATGGGATTGGACGAAGGAATTATATTACTAAATGAGTTGCAAGAGGAGATTTGACTGGGGGATGCAGGTGCGAGGGTGGAAATGTTGTGTGCGTCGAATGAAGCGGGAGAGAAGGGAGGAGGGGGCGGTAGGGAGGGGGCGGTAGGAACGGGTGAATGAAAGAATGAATGAATGGATGGATAGTGTGGGAGGGGTGTGTTGAGACAGTCGGTCGAGGAAGAGGGTGTTTCAGAGGCAGAGAGGGCAAAAGAGTAAATAGTTATCGGTAGTGATGGTACTGTAGCAGGCTGAAGGGGATGGCGGCGTGACTGGAGGCTGTCAGGTGCGGTCACGCCAATGCGCGACGTGAGCTAACGCTCCGTTATTCGGCGGACTGCATTACACCTGTCCTGAAGCGTTTCATTGGCTTACGCATAGTCACACATCAGTTTCCATTACAGTTCTGGCGGACGGAGATGAAATTCGGAAGAAAAAGAGGGGCCCCGGCAATGTCAGGGCTCGTGAGGATCGCAAGAGGCTCTCGCTTTGATGGTACGTACAGTACGGGGGCTGTATGACGGCTGTACCCCTCCTGCATGATCTCAATTCGTGCGTTTTCGGGTACAGCAGCATAATGGCCGTCCCTCGCCTTAGAGCTATGGGTCAATTCAAAGTTGAGATGCTCTTCCAACTTTTCCCCCCCCGCCCCGTCCCATTATCATCCTCGTTGTTGTTTTCATGCATCCAACACATTTCTGTAAGGGCCGTTTACAATATTGTCTTTTTTTTTCTTCCTTTTTCTACTCCCCCCGAAACACGCGGATTTTCCTTTGTATTTATATATTGTATAACGCAACGAGGCAGTTCCTTCATCGCGAGCCCAGGATTCGAATAACTGCGGCATGACCTTCGCAGTGGCGAAACGTCATCACACAAATGTCTTTCTCCAGTATTGGCGTCTGGGTCTCTCATGCGCAGGCCCCTTTTCACCCGCCGGTTTCACCAGTAACAACGCGCAAACTTTACACACATGTATCCACACACCGTCTAATGTCACCCATGCCTCTTGCACACATAACCAATGCAACATATGTGGCCTTTTTCTGAGCGCCCTTCGCCGCCCATTTTCTCCTTCAATTACACATGCAAAAATGATGCTTTGGGCGCACTGTTTACAGCGGGCATCGCCTATCCAACTGGGAGAGGAGAGATCTCCTCGCACCCAAAGTGTCGCGTGTGCTGTAACCGCGCGAGGAGATTAATTAGGTGGGCAACGAGGGTACAGTGTACTCTGTTCTTCTTCAGCGTACTGTACTTACTCTCTGTGTACTGGACAGCGCGCAGAACAGTAAGGTTTACACTCGGGATGGGGAAGGGGAAAGATCACATAATCGAGAATTTATCTCGTCGGACGAAAATAGAGACAGCAAAGTGGTGGTGGTGGTGCAACTAAGTTAGTTGAACTAACCGCGCGGAGATACGACACGCTGTTTTTCTGCGGAGAGTGCAAATCCCACCAAGCCACGTTCTTACTTTACCCTTGGTACTACAGTAAGAAGGTGGCTTGGTGGCCGGCCCTTTGCCCTGGCAAGGGAGCGCTCCGCTTTTTTACATAAAAACTCACACCATCGTGTCATGATGGAGTGCAGAGTTCCTCTCTCTCTCTCCCTCTCCCTCATTCTTGTTCTCCTCGCTCTTCAACTCTCTGTCTGACAGCGAGACTCAGTCGACCTCTCGGCAGCATCGCTGCTCTTTCCATATGGTCTGTAAACAACTATATCACAAGCAAAGACAAGTGAATGGATTAATTTCCATGAGCAGAAACACAACTAGCAGAATCACAACTAGCAGAAACACAACTACGATGATGAATAGTGTACCTCCCCCCTGCCCGCCCGCCCCACGTCTGTAAAACGCATCAACCACCTGTTGAATTTTCCTGCTGTACCCTTGTATGGCCCCCGAACCAGCTTTGTGTTCTGCTCCTACATATTACAACGTCGTCACCTGTTTTCCTTGTCTCCTTTCCTCTTGTTCCACCAACCCAACACCCTCTCTCTCCTGTGCACCAGAGCGTACAGTACCAAGGGTACAACACTGGAGTGCGCTA